GTCAAGAGACTGCCCTTCAGCTATCATAGGTACTCTGGGGGAGAGACGTAAATTCTGAAACATGTAACGACTGTAACAGCGTTTGCCATAAAGCAGGCCAAACTCCGCAGCTCCACCTGGGATGCCCCCGGCGAGGCTTGGGGTCGCAGGACACACCTGTCTCAGTTGAGCAATGGGTTCATAGATTCTGTTAGTATTTATTCCGTTGTATTAGATTTAGCCCGTTTAGCCCTCACCAATTTTTGGATTTCCCACTGTCAGTTTCTTGGTTCATAATATTCTTGCTATAGAAGAAGGGACAGGTACAATCTGTCATCTTTTTTTTTTTTTTTTTTGCATTTTTTACTAACCTAGAATTCTCATAATCCTTCAATTCCAAAACATTTAGAAGCACTTAAAATGCAAATATTTTAAGATATTTTTAATGTCATTATTACACATGTGATAGGGATTTCTTACAAGATGCAAGGAAAATATACTTTGCCTGAAATACATGTCTTCCTTGCTACATTCTTAATTTTATATGGGAGAAAAACAAAAACAGAAAAGACATTTCCTCTGTTACATTCTTGATAAATCAGCATTTTAAAATAAAGTGAATATAACCATAGAATTAATTCATCAATCTTACAGAGCCGTGAATATCTATTCTGGCCCAAATGATCTTTTTTATTTCCGTTCCGACGCGTAGGCGTTGAAGGCACCATGTTCCCCGTCTTCCCTCTCTTCCTTGGCCTGCCTTGGGGAGATGCAGCACAGAAGGACCTTCAACTGTGCTGCAGGTGCTTTTTAGGGTTTAGGACGTATAAGCACGAAGCAGACATTTTCTTCAAATTGCCTTTTATAAAACAGCAAGTGATCAAATTGGAAAATAATTACTAGTTATGAATACGGTATTTAGGCTTAGCTCTTCATATTTAACTTCTTCATTTTCGTAAACTGCAGGAAGAAGTGTCATTCACATAAACAATCCCAGACGAAGTACTTACTGACTCATGAACACGTGTAGTTTTCTCTACGTGGCCTTATTTGGACAGTGATCTCAGACGAAGGACGAAACGCCCAGTTAAAGTGACGACAGGAAAGAGCTCACTCAGCTTTTAGGGGGCAAACTCTCCATTTCTAGTTGCTTTTGCTTGGATGTACCATCTTTGAAAACAAAACTGAAGTTCTGACTTAACATCTTGACCTCCTGAGCTGTTCTGTTCAGCTAGACCGAGAACAGTCCTTTTTTTTTCAGACATGGCTTCTTTCAGCTCTTTCCAGTTCTGTACATTCTGATACTATTTTTAAAAATTAGACAGTGATTAGGATGTGGAGAAATGTTGACTTCTTTCCCAGTTAGGTGTCCCGTGTGTACTCGTGCTCTGTCTGTGGAGTTTTTTAAGGAAATTTGGGTTTATGTATTTATTTCAATTTCCTCAGTGTTGTTCCAGGAGGTAACAACAGACTCTTAGCGTCCTGTATCCTCTGCCTGTGTGCAGTGTAACAGAGGAAATGCTTATCTAAAGACCAGAGTACGATGTGTGTGGCAAGACATGTGTCCTATCAGGTATCATGATAACTTGCCAGACATTTTCCAGAGATTTCTGTTTTGCTTTGATGTCAACCCATCAAAGCTGGCTGAATCAGGGGGTGCCCTTTTGTAGTCACCCTGGCTGTCTTGACCCACCTCAGTTATGCTGACATTGCTCGACAATTCCTGGAGAACTGATCCTGTGTATTCTCCTCGTGACCAGTCCGTCAGGCCACGTAATAAACCTTGTCTCACTACCTTCTAAACATTCCATCTCAGACAAGAAAAACTCACCAGTCTCTAGCTTGACTTCTCATGGAGTCACCAACGGTGATTATCCAAAAACTGAAACACCTCCCAAAGTCTGTTCACATCAAGATTCACCACTTGGGAGAATAATTCAGAGAGGAAGTACTGCAGGTGGTCGAAGAGGAGGAGTACCAGGTGTGTGAGCAGTAGCAGCATTGCTGAGATGCAGTCAAGGATTTACGTGGTCTGGGGGGTGTGGTCCAGGCATCAACCTCTCCTGCCCCCATGCCCCCCACCGCAGTCCCTACAAGAAGGAAGTTGGCAGTAACTGACAGGGGTCTCTCTGGAAGATCGTCATGTCCAATTTTGAGTGTAAATCAGTAAGTTCACGCAGGAGGACCAAAGAAAGGAAGCCATGCTTGTTACTGTCCCACAGCAGGGTTGTAGGGTATCCTGAAGCTCAGGAGACGAGATGTCAGAAACTCTTCACCCTTGAGTCGAGATCCTCCTTTCTGAGAGAGGATAGATGTCAAGGGTCTCAGCTCAGGAGTGACTAGAAGTGACTTTTAACCATAAAAAAGAAACCAAGAAACGGTCTGCAGAAACCATCAAGCGCGAGAGCGTCATCATTTTGCCATTGAGAACTCTCCTCCAGTGTCCTCAGTTCAGTGGCGTGCCTGCCCACAGTAAGGGCCACCTGCTGTTTGTATTCACAGTAGCTTGGTGATTGATATCCGTCCACTGGGGATCATTTTGCACACCCCTCCCCCATCCTGTGAACTATTGGCGGTGATACTCTCAATGGTAAAATGCAGCGTAAATTTCTCCTTTATAAATCTGCGAAAACATGTCAAAGGAATTAGAGGCCAAAACTGTGAAGAATAAAAAAAAAAAGTATTTAACACTATTAATTATCAGTTTAATGGTTAAAAAAAATTTTAATAAGTTGCCCTTTTGTGAGGTGAGTGGGTTTCAGAGGGATGGTTTCATGCTTTACCTGGTTCCTTATTTTGAAGTCATATTAATGATAGTTTGGGATTTTTGGCTGTGAAACCTATTTGGGGGCTAATATTCCTATTAAAAAATACGTCTTCCGGTTAACTATTACAAGAGAGTTGACAAAAACACCAAAGTACAATTAATTTACAATTCTGGGTTTTAAAAAATTTTTTCTGCTTTCGGAAGAGGCACCCTTAACCACAAGCTGGTCGGTCACACATGGGGGTGGGAGTGCCAGCTCTTGGGGAGGGTTTTACGAATGTGGACTGTGAGGCTGAATGTACTGCTGTTTTTGGAGTCTTTTCTTATAGAAAATGTCAATGTTCTCTCTTTTATACTTGCTGCAGAATGCAGTGCGTCATAATCTTAGTCTTCACAAGTGTTTTGTGCGAGTAGAAAACGTTAAAGGGGCAGTATGGACAGTGGATGAAGTAGAGTTCCAAAAACGAAGGCCACAAAAGATCAGTGGGTACGTCCACCATGTTTGAACTTCTTAGCCTCGCTTGGATTGTGCTAACAAGTGTCACGTAGAGGCTTTTGGCTGCTAGACGGTGTTAGACCAAAGAACCGGTTTCACGTTGTCTCAGTTAAGGGAAGCAAAAAAGCATTTCATCCCTCCTGTTTTGTATACCCGCCAGTCCCCCTGCCCTGCTTGCTGGTCTTTGTTGCATCACATGCTAGTAGCTTTTAGGTGGCGATGCATATTAACCCTCACAAACCATTTGCTTATGCTTATTGCATTTTATTTTCTTTTTCCTGTTCCCTGTATTGGATGTCTGTTCTGCCCCAAACCCCGTCTCCTTTTGTTGCCACTTCATCTCCTTTGCTGCTGCTCCTATCCCAGGGTGCCATTCGCACCAACCTCTCACTGCATAAGTGCTTTATCAGAGTAGAGGATGAGTTTGGGTCCTTTTGGACAGTTGATGATGAAGAGTTTAAACGTGGCCGCCATATTCAACGAGGCCGTCCTCGCAAATACTGCCCCGATGAAAACTTTGACGAGCTTGTCGCACAGTAAGAGCCTTTACTTGCTTTTGTTTTTTGTTTCTTCTGCTGTTGCTTTGGCTTTGCATGGTTGACTCATCCCATGATAGTTTTGCATTTCACCAAGTAGCAGTGCCACGGCTTTCCGCAACGGAACTAAATTGTGTGATTCGTACATGTTAATTTCTCTCGTTTCTCTTTGGAACACCAGTGCCTTGAGTAATGCTTTTTTGACGTCTTCAATGCAAAGATGGGTTGTATTTTGATCCCGCAGCTTTCCCGGGGACCCTGTAACTCAGTGCTTTTTGCGTGACCCTGTATTCCTCCAAGTAAAGAGGGAACCCTTCCTTTGAGTTAAAATGCAGATTTAATGGGATAAAGTTCTCCTTGGTGGCTCACTCAGTATAACCATATGAATGTAGCACAGTGAGTGATGACACTGACAACAGCTCAGCTACTTCCTTTAAAGTAGGTAGTTTCCTACTGGAAGCCACCCTTTCCCTCAGCATCTCCCGTGCAATTTTTTTTTTTTTTAGTGTTTTCATTCCTCCTGGTTAGAGACTCCGTTAAAATAGCAGCTTGTCCGCATTTGGTCAGGAATGGACACAGCATCAAATACCCGCGTAGCCCCCAGATCTGGCTGTGCCGAAAGACCGCAGCCCACCTCGGCTTCCTTAGGAGTGACACCTCAAGTACCCTGCTCTCCGCCTTCTTTTGGCAATAAGTGAGCCTTGAAGACCGTTTCTTAAGAGCCACGGTGCCATTCCTCTAGCCGTAACCCTAGAGTCCAAATCCTGGAGCGGCGTGAGAGCCAAGGCCCTGCCAGTTCCCTGGGCCCAGGGCCCCAGGGCACCTGTCTTCCTGGTGGAGTCAGGGGC